GATTTATATTTTAATGGAAATTCACATGCAGTTCAGATTTATATTTGAATCAAAATCCGAATCCGAATGCAATTCTAATTTGTATTTCAGTTAAAATCTGGATGCAATTGAAATGCATATTTAAAGCAAATACAATACAATTTGAGTTGACATTTAAATCAAATGTAAATGTAAATGCAAATACTGATACAATTCAGATTAATATTTCAATCCAAATCAGAATATAGTTCTCATGCTCTGTATGTTTAAATCCAAATTCAGATACAATTTAAGTTCACAGTTGGCATTTAAATCCAGATTTCAAATGTAAATGCAAATACAGATACAATTCAGATTTACATTTAAATCCAAATCAGAATACAGTTCACATGCTCTGTATGTTTAAATCCAAATTCAGATACAATTTAAGTTCACAGTTGACATTTAAATCTGGATTTCAAATGTAAATGCAAATACAGATACAATTCAGATTTACATTTAAATCCAAATCAAAATACAGTTCACATGCTCTGTATGTTTAAATCCAAATTCAGATACAATTTAAGTTCACAGTTGGCATTTAAATCCGGATTTCAAATGTAAATGCAAATACAGATACAATTCAGATTTATATTTACATCAAAATTGTAATACAGTTCAAATGTACTGTATGATTATATCCAAATTCAGATACAATTTGAGTTCACAGTTCACATGTAAATACAGATACAATTCAAATTCACATTTAAATCCATATTCCTAATAAAATTCAAATTCACATTTAAATGTAAATCCAATTCAAGTCTGAAATTAGATGAAGTAGATACTTTTTTTTGTTCATTCTTTGAAACATATCTGTCAATACTACATAAATTTTGAATCTGAATTTGATGTGTATTGTGATATAAAATCATATATTTTAAAATTCAGAGCAGGTTATAAACTGAATGGTAGAGTAAGTCTCTGTTCAAGCAGTAATAGCAGTGTTTGGTATATCCTGTTCTTTTGTATATAATCTTTGAGTGAAGCCCCTATCTTTACAGTTCCTGTGAGGACTGGCAGTAAAAGAGCCTGTCTTTCTCTCTCTAGTGGCTATGAACTGGGTAACCGTATACTGTGTTTTAGACAAAAGCAGCCATAAGTGTGAAATCTCTAGGAACACAGATAAAGTGTACAGTGCAGTGTACAAAAGCCAAAGGAAGAGAGAGAAATATCCAAGGGAATGAGAGTGTTTGAATGTGAAATGATTTGCAGTAGTATCAGTCTTTACTTCGCTACAGGAAAAGTAATAATTGTAAAGTCTTTTGTGATTCAAGTGTCTTGAGGACATTCTTTAATTAATTTTATGAATCTTACTCTGAATACATATGTAAGGGTCAGTCATGTCAGCTGCACGTTCTTTGCGCTAATTTGATCTGTGTTGTAAAATAAGAGAGAGACAGACCCCGTAGAGCGAAAATAGAAAATCCGTAATGACCGAACGCAAGCTACCTATTAAACTCTATCATGTGCTTTATAATTTCCCAGAATCCATTAAAAATCATGCTATGCTCTCATTCTGAGGGTAATTATATTCTGTGGACCTTGACCACCCTGGTCCAACCTGACAAATGTCAGTGTGACTTTCCATAATTATAACAGTAATGTAACAGAAATCAATTCTGTCTTCCTCTGCTGGCCGTTCGCACGGTGCTAAAGGCTCTTTCCTCAGAGCAGAGCACCAAAGAGTCATGTCTTTTCATCAATACACTGTTGGTTATGTGAGGAATGACATTATTTGACAAGTTCTGCATGATTGTCTTTGACAGGAAATGCGTTTCGTGTGCAGTTTTGGTGTGAATGCTGATTCACATGAATCAGGTTGTGCTGGATTCGGAGTGTTTTGAACAGAGATGGAGGAGGTGTTTGTCTGGCTGTATTAATGTCTCGGAGGGTTAAAGGGGTTTGTAATTGGTCTCCTCAGAGACTGGTGTCTGTTTTCTTCGCTCTTTCATTCCTTTCCTTCTTTTTAAATGCTTTCCTTGAGGCACACAGCTGTCTTGGCATGAACATGCTCCTGGTATCCTCAAAACTAAGTCAACTGACATTACGAACCCGGATATTACAAGTGTGATTTGTACAGATTGATATGCTGTGATCTGAGACCACTTGTGGAAACGGTTTGATTTTGCAGTTTTCAAATTGAATTCAATTTAATACAGATGATATAATCAGCATGACAATGAAAAGTTGAATGTAAACTATTATAAATATCAGAATGTAATAGTTAGTTCTTCTTCGGTGTAATTTTGGGTCCAGTAACTTTTGAATGTACACTCTGTCATGTATTTCTGTGTTGAAGGGTAATTAAGGGGAATAAATTCAATTCTGCCTACTGCGTGTCAAAGCAACAAAGCTGCTAGTTTAGTCTTTTGCATGATTGAGTTTGAATTAGCACAGACTGACATCTGTATGATGAGAACTGGTATACATGTACAAACGGTCTGGGGTGAAAAACTTGCAGTTTAATCAGGTGTTATCTGCGCTGCTTAGAGTATGATTCATTTTATTACATTTTTTATATTAGATTAGGTAGGAATGCACAGCATATTTTTGATTTTATTATCTTTTTTTTTTTTGGTATAAGTCAATCAGTGTTTGATATTTTATTGCTAATGCTCATTTCCTCTGTTTTCGTTTTATGTATTTCAGATTTTATTTCAGATTTTGGGGCCACTTTGCACTCATGTTACCTATGGAAGCCCATTTCTGCCATGTAATAAAAATCTTGCTTTGCTAACTCATAATTATAACATAAAAAGTCAGTATCATATGAAAAATAATTATACTAAAAAAAGTTGATTAGTTGACATAAAAAGTCAAAATTATTACATAAAAAGCTGATATTATGGCATAAAAAATCTAAATTAAAACGTAAAAATTTACAACATAAAAAGTCAGAATGTCAAAATGACAAAAAAAAATATGACTGAAAAAAAATGTACATTTATGATATAAACATTTATTTTATATTTAGTGAAATTGAGATTGTCATAATTGTGATATCATTATTATGACAAAATTGTCCCGATTACTTTTTTGTCATAATTATGACTTCTCGCAGTTTAACCCTAAACCTAACTTAATTTTGACTTTTTATCTCAAAATGTCCAATAGAATACACATTTTTAGAATTTTTGTATTTTAAATCAGAATTCTAAAACGATTAATTTGAGTTTTTAGTGTGCACCTAGATAGCAACAAGCACAGAGTAGCAGAATGTGAAACAAGCCACATGAGCTGCTTTGAATTTCACAAAGAGGAGTATTACAATATTAAAGAGTTGCTGTGTGTGATAATCCAGTGAAAGTGATGTTCTCAGCATGGATTTGCTCTTTGACTCAAAGATGTGACATCTTCACGTTCTCTTCAGCTCAGCCTGATTCCTCTGGTTATCGCTCTCTGGCTCTCCTCCGCTTGTTTATGCTCTCCAGTCCCCCCCCACACCCCCCTCCCAGTCTGAGATTAGTCCCTGCTGTGTGCGTGGTGTGTGTATTTAGCTCATGGTGGGTAGCAGTGGGTGGGGTTTTATTTTCAAGCACAGATTAGCAGCTGAGAAGGGGATTCCATCCTATTAAATTATTCATGCTTAAGAAATTATTACAGTGCATGAAACAGCATTGTGCTTCAATAAATGCCTTACCCTAGACACTGGGTGTGTGTGATGATCCTAATTCACAGTTCAAATTAGATGGCGACCATAATATAAACTCAGTGAGAGGGACAGCTTATTCCAAGCACGATTCATCTCTCATTGTGGAAAGACAATGTTTTGATGCTTTGGTAAAATTATAACATAAAAAGTAAAAAATGATGAGAAAAGAAATTGTACTTAAAAAGTCTACATAATTAGTCAACATAAAAAGTCGGAAACATTTGGGACAAAAAAAAAGTCAGAATTACGACAAAAGTTATAGTTGACAAAAAGTCCGAATTGTGACAAGTTGAAATTACAACATAAAAAGATGACATTAAAAGTCATTATTATGATAAAAAATATTAATAATTATCTAATATTTTAATATTATCTCTTTTTTTTGTCATAATTTTGACTTTTCATCCCATGACTTAGTATCTCATAATTTCAACTTTTTATGTCATAATTATATTTTAACAAAACATTTTTTTTTTACATTTATGGTGGAAATGGGCTTTCATGGTGACCTGATTTGCATAATTTCTTCAGTGAGTCTGCACTAAAACAAAATATGAAACCAAAAACAGCTGATATATGTTTAATATGTATTTACTGAAAGTCAGAAATTCATCAGTAATTTAAGATTTGGACTGGTGTGTGGGTTATTCAGATCGAATGGTACTTAGCTACTTTCTTGTCATAACATTCAGTGAACTTATACATACATTTTGTTCTTCATTGTACAGTGTGAAAGTTTCTCCTTTGCCTTTAAGCTTGAGCGGTGATATTTATTGAACAGAACGTGGTGTTATGGATGGTACAGTGTGTACCAAGAGGAACATTTCCACTCAGTGTTTAGAACAGAATACTGATAAATGTCAGATTATTAAGTTAGTTGAATGGTATACCTATCTGTCAATGTGTGTCATTATAGTTAACGTGTGCATTTCATCTGGATCAGTATTTTGTCTGAATCTGAATCCTGTTTTACACAAATAGTAGCAAACAGTAGTTTTAGTCATTTTCTGCATATTCACTTTTTTTGGCACATTGATAGCTAACCTCTTATGTTGAGTTTATCTTTGCGTCCAGGTCATGTTGTAGCCTACATTTCTTGTAATATTTTAAGTGCAAGGAAAGCTGCATATATATATATAGGCCTAACTTACGGCTATAACAATTAAGGTCATTAATAATTTACCATAAATAAGATCTCTCTGGTGAAACCACATACTGTCACAACCTCTACCTTAACCTGAAATAATATTCATGCTAAAATTTCATTCAGACCCATTTTGAGTTTAAAACTGAGCTAAACTTAATCTTCTGGGGTTTTTCCCTACAGGTGCCACAAGGTGAAGTCAGTATAGTGTGAGCGGGAGCCCTGAGATGGCGACGCAGGGGCTGGCGGCCCGGCTCTTCGTGCTGCTGGCCGTGTTGGCAGTGGCTCATGCCTCCGTCTTCCAGTCCAATCAGAGACTGAAACCTCGGTTGCAGCGAGACCGGCGCAACATCCGTCCCAACATCATCCTCATCCTCACCGATGACCAGGACATTGAATTGGGTGAGTGGAAAAAGAATACTCAGATACCTTTAGGATAATTTATGATAAGCCACCTCCAAGAGAAACTTTTGGGGATTTTTGGAGACAAAATAAAACAATAAGCTGTGAGAGTCCATGTGTTATAGTGGTTTTAAAATGTTTCAGGGATGTTGTCAGGCACAGTATGTACTGGAATGCCTAAAACTCCCTTAACCGTGATGCAACTCTTTACATGGCAACCACAAATATGATAAAGGACACCAGTTTTCAAGACTATTAAATCATCCACTGATTCCAATGAGAGCTCGTCCAGTCAGATTTAGATATAGTGACGTGACATGTGGCCAAGTATGGTTACCCATACTAGGAATTAGTGCTCTGCATTTAACCCATCCTAAGTGCACACACACAGCAGTGAACACACACCCGGAGCAGCGGGTACACTACATATATTACATATACACTACTGTTCAAAAATTTGAGGTCAGTAAGATTTTGTTTTTAAGAAATTAATACTTTTATTCAGCAAGGATGCATTAAATTGATCAAAAGTGACAGTAAAGACATTCATAATGTTACAGGTAAATGCTTTCAAATAAATGCTATTCTTTTGAATTTTTATTCAAAATAAGAAATGTTTCTTGAGCAGCAAATCAGCATATTAGCATGATTTCTGAAGGATCATGTAACAGTAAAGACTGGAGTAATGATGCTGAAAATTCAGTTTTGCATCACAGGAATAAATTACATTTAAAAAAAATGTTATTTATACACAAAACAGTTCAATTAAATAATAATAATATTTTACGTTATTAGTGTTTTTACTGTATTTTTTGATCAAATAAACGCAGCCTAGGTGAGCATAAGAGAATTATTTCAAAAACCTTGAACGGTAAAATGAAGAGTAGTGTATTTCTATTACTTAAGGTATTTAATTTGATGTATTTTAACCATATTGTAACCTGACCTGCTTGTAAAAATTGTTTTACTTTTGCTCCTAAAACAAAACAGTTCTTTAGAATCTCTAATGGTTTTAGCAAACAAGATCTCTCAGTCTAAAAGGTTTACAGGTACAAGATGCAACTAATGCTGAAAGAGCATTTGTTTCTGTTGAATGTGTTTGTGTGTGTGAGAGAGCTCGTTTATTTTATTATATATCAGCTGTCTATCTATATTGACCTTTGTGTGTAAAGTGCACAGAGGATTTTTGCAGTGTGTATGTTCGTATGTGCTGACCTTTCTGCAGGAATCTGTGGAGATGTGATGATCCTGTCTTAAAGGCCAAACTGAACTAGACTTCCTTTTTCCAATCATATCAATTGAGCAAATCAGGGTGTAGGTTGTGTGGGTTTACTTAGCTATAGTTTGTTCCCAGAAGTTATTTATAAATGTTGTCATTTTAATCAATGATTCGTAAATAAAAATGAATGTGCATTAAAGTCTCTTATGCTTACCAAGGCTGCATTCATTTGCTCAAAAATGCATTAAAAACAGTCATTTATTCCTTCAGTGTCACATGATCCGTCAGAAATCATTCTAATATGCTGATGTGCTGCTAAAGAAACATTTCTTATTATCAATATTGAAAACAATTGTGCTGCTTAATATTTTGGTGGAAACTGTAATATTGTTAAATATCATTACAATTTAAAATAACTGTTTTCTATTTGAATATATTAGGCTTCTTTGATAAATACAAAGTTCAAAAGAACAGTGTTCATTTAAAATAGAATTTTCTGTACACTATTGAATTAATGCATCCTTGCTGAATACAATAAATAAATCTTACTGACCCAAACCTTTGAATGGTAGTGTAAAAACTATTGAAGTTTATGGTTTGTCCTAATTTACATTTAAATAAATGTGTGTGTGTTTATTTGAGTAAGACAAGGTCGAAGAAATGCTGAGGAAGAGCGAAAACAAAGGGGTTTTGAAAACTATATACTGTAATTGAGACTTTTAATAAATAGAGTGTGACTTGTGAATATAAAGCCTGTATCATATATCTCTAAACATACACATCCATGTGCACACGCACACACACGCCGCTGGTGTCACATGAATTCCCAGGTTGCAAACAACCAATACATTTCCTCTTAAAGGCTGGAATGTCACAAACAGAGAATAAATGAAAGAACTGATATCTTTATCCCGCTGATGTCTAGTGTTGTGTAGGGGAAGAGAAAAATAAGTATCCAGTTCTCTTTGAAGTAGAGCAATCAGCAGAGCAGACTTTATGTCACCTTCAATAATATATGATAGATCTTCTTTTTCTCTCTCTCACCCAGGCTCCATGCAGGTCATGAATAAGACCCGGCGGATCATGGAACAGGGTGGAACGCACTTCTCCAATGCGTTTGTCACCACGCCCATGTGCTGTCCATCACGCTCCTCCATGCTGACGGGGAAGTACGCCCACAACCATAACACCTACACCAACAACGAGAACTGCTCTTCGCCCTCCTGGCAGGCCCAACATGAGCCACGCACTTTTGGAGTTTACCTCAACAGCACTGGCTACAGGACAGGTGGAGAACATTCCCAAACACACACTGAAAGGATTACTTGATTAAATTGCTGTGTTATTGTCGCATGGTATAGAGTAATGACGATTTGTTAATCTAATGAATAACTGATTTAAATCAAATGAAAAATTGTGTGTTTGATTGGTCCAGACGCTACAGTAGAGTGGAGTACAGTAGTGTAGTGTAGTAGAGCTATGAGTTCAGCATAGAATAGTGTGGACTAAAACTAGAGTAGAGTAGAATGAAGTGTACTAGAATAACATAGAGATGAATAGACTAAAAACAGAGTAGAGATGAGTAGAATAATGTAGAGTAGATTAAAGTGCAGTAGCATTGAATGTACAGTAGAGTTGAGTAGACTAAAGGAAAATAGCCCAGAGATAAGTAGAATATTGTAGACTAGAGTAATATAGACTGAAGAAGAGTAGAACAGAGTTCAGAAGAGTAGACTAAAGTAAAGGGAAATAGCCTAGAAATTAGTAGAATTATGTAGAATTAAGTAGAGTATCATCTCCTGAAGTAGAGTAGAATAGAGTTAAGTATATTATACTAAAGTAATGGAGAATAGCCTTTAGATGTGTAGACAAGAGTATAATGTAGAGTAGAATACATTCAAATTAGCTTATACTAAAACAGAGCAGAATATAGTAACATAGACTTGAGAAAAATTGATTAAAGCAGAGAGGACTAGACTAAAATAGAGTAGAATAAAACTGAGTTGAGTGGACTATACTAAAGTAAAGTAGAATAATGTATACTAGATTGAAGTAGATTAGCAGCATATACTGAAGTATAGTAGAAGAGAGTTACGTAGATTAGAATAAAGTAAAAGAGATGAGCCTAAAGATCAATTGAATAATGTAGAATAGAAAAATTAGAGCAGCATAGACTGACTTAGAGTAGAGTAGAATAGAGTTGAGCAGACTAGACTAAAGTAAAAGAGAGGAGCCTAAAGATCAATAGAATAATGTGTACTAGATTAAAGTAGAGTAGCATACACTAAAGTAGAGTAGAACAGAGTTGAGTAGATTGTACTAAAGTAAAGGAGAATAACCTCAAGATGTGCAGCCCAGAGTATAAAAATGTAAAGTAGAATAAATTAAAATATCTTATACTAAAATAGAGCAGAATATAGTAACATAGATTGAGAAAACTTGATTAACACTGACCCGACTAAAATAGAGTGGAATAAAATAGAGTTGAGTAAACTTGACTAAAGTAGAGGGGAATGGCATAGAGATTAGTAAACTAGAGTAGAACAATGTGGAGTAGATTAGAGTAGCATAGTCTAGAGTAGAATAAAGTAGAGTCAAATAAATTTGAGTATTGTATACTAAAATAGAGTACAATAGAGTACAATAAAGTACCGTAGACTAAAGCAGAGTAGAATGAAATAGAGTAGCCTGAAGTAGAGTAGTGTAGCAAAGTTGAGTACTTTATATCTTTGTAGCATAAAATTCATAGTTGGACTAGATTAGAGACTAATCAGAGTGTAGCATAAGTGGCTCTAAGATCACGCTTTCATAACCTCATACCCTTTAATGATTTCCATCTGAAACCAAACACCAAAGCATTATGGCACATAAACTCTTCAATAACAGCCTGACATGAATGTAAAGTTCAAATTGAGCTCTCATTCATTTGTGAGCTGTTTCATCAGTCAGAGTTGTGTCTTTTGGGTTTTTCACACACTCTCACCAGAGATTCAGTGTGACAGGCCCCCAGGTCACACACACACTGTCAAACACACTCTCACAGACTCTTGCACGAACATTGACATAATCTGTCTCCAACAGATGATTTTCATTAAACTAAAAACCTTCGGGCTGTAATGGATGGTTTTGTGTATTTGTGTAAATGTGTGATGTGTGTGTGATGTTTTTTGTTTGTGACATAGACATCAGGCAAAACTACTATGTGCATGTAAACATAGCATGACCAGCTGTGAATATTGTTCCTGCACACACACACACACACACACACACACCTGGCAGTGAGTCAGGCTTTTAGTGGTAACAGTAATCCATTAGAGCACACTTCCTCTAGGAGAGAGACCAGCTCTGACCAACATCCTCTCTAATGTAACATTTCCAACACAAATATTCATTCATCTTCACACAGCTCCTGTCCTCTATTCCTCTACATGCAGATTCTGTCTGTATGCCCGTTGTATTTTAAATGTGCAATGTATTTTTAGTATAAAAAGTTTATGCTACTTTTCTGTACTCCACTCTGTTCTACTCTTCTCCATTCTACTGTTCTTGACCCTTTATCACACTCACTGTACTCTATGCTGCTCTTCCATACTCTGATCAAATTCTATTCTATTCTACTTTATTGTACTCTGCTCTGCCGTACTGTACTCCATTCAGTTCATCTCTACTCAACTGTACCATACACTATTCTATTCTACTCTACTCTGTTCTGCTCTGCTAACCTCTACTTTACCATAACCTACTACTTTGCTTTGCTCTAATTTACACTGTTTTACTATACTATACTCTACTCAACTCTATATACTGTGTACTTCTACTCTATCGTATTATACTGTTTTACTCTCTACTGTTTTACTTTACTCTATTTAACTGTTCTACTTTATTCTATTCCACTACACACTACTCACCTCTACTAAACTCTGCTGTTTTCTGAATTGTTGTAGTCTATTTTTCTACTCTACTTAATTCTACTGTTTTGTGCTCTATTCTGTTCAGTCCAACTCAACTGTACTATGTGCTTTTCTACTGTACTATGTGCTTTTTACTTTACCATATCACTGTTTTTATTCTGTTTTATTTTATTCTGTACTACTCTGCAATACTTTATTCTATTGTACTCTACTGTACTGTGCTACTTTATTCTATTCTACTCAACTTTCCCATACTATTCTACTTTTCAATTTTCACTGTTTTGCTCTATTCTGTTCAATTTTCACTGTTTTGCTCTATTCTGTTCTACTATACTCAACTAAACTGTACTCTTTTATAATCTACTGTGCTCTACTCTACTTTGTTCTATTCTACTCAAATATCTACTCAACTATTACCACATAACTAAACCATACACTATTCTTCTCTACCCTGTTTTACTCTATTCTGTTGCACTTTACTCAATTGAACTACTCTATATTTGTGTAAAAACTATTCTACTCCATTCTGTTCTACTCTACTCAACTGTAGTATACACTTTTCTACTCTTCTATTGTTTTGTACCATACTATTTCACTTTATTCTGTTTTACTCAGCTCAACTCTATTGTATTGTAATCTACTCAACTTTATTCTACTTTTCTGTTCTCTACTCTGCTGTATCATCCTCTGCTATTCTGCACTCTGCTCTATTCTGCTCTCTGTTCTACTCTAGTGTACTCAACACTGCTCTATTTTACTCTATTCTTTATTTTTGTCTATTCTCAGTTCTACCCTACTCTATTCTGTTCTGCTCTGCTCTATTTTATTACACTATTCTGTACTCTACTTTGCTCTCTTCTACACTATTTTGCTTTATGATAACTATGCTCTCTTGTGTTTGTGTTTTCCCAGCATTCTTTGGGAAGTATCTGAATGAGTATAACGGTACTTACATTCCTCCGGGCTGGAGGGAGTGGGTCGCCATGGTGAAGAATTCCCGCTTCTACAACTACACTCTGTGCAGAAACGGCGTCCGAGAGAAACACGGATTTGACTACTCAAAGGTCTGTGTGCAAGCTGGCCAATCATGCGGAACCCCGTCTTTTCCTATTGCGTCTCCTTTCTTCATTTCTTGTCATGTCTTCATCCATTCTTGACCAGTTTGATTGATAGTTTTGTTAGTCTGATTTCCAACAAAGTCAGACCTCTTTTCTGTCTGTCTTTCACACTCTCAGTGGCTGTCTCTCAAAGTTCAGTATTTTTTGTCAGGGCTCATCAGTCTCATCTAAGCTCTCTTTTTTCTGTTAGCTTTTCACCATTCATTGCAGTGACAGACATTTAAGCTCTTTGACAACAGAAAAGTTTGCTTATGAGTGGGTTATATGTGTGTGTATGTTAAGCTTTTGAATAACTGAGACTGAAATATTTTAAATTAGTAGATTAATGATCAGATCTCTGTACCTCCTGTAGGACTACCTGACAGATCTCATTACCAATGACAGCATCAGTTACTTCCGAATGTCAAAGAATGTCTACCCTCACCGACCCATCATGATGGTGATCAGTCACGCCGCCCCTCATGGCCCGGAGGACTCGGCCCCTCAGTACACTACTGCTTTCCCCAACGCTTCACAGCACATGTGAGTCCAAACCTCCATTGCATGACATTTAATTTAAAAAGATGATACGAAAAACTAAGAATGTATTGGTATTGGTACTGGTATTGGCTTTGTCTCTTTTTCGCCTTAATGGAAATATCACTAAAGCTGCATGAACTCCACCAGTTTGTATAAAAACGAATGATCAGTTTGAATGATTTGGGATGATCCAAAGAGTATCTTGAGCTTCAGAATAAGAAGAAATCTGACCGCCTGGAAAAACACGTTCATTGTCACTGATTTTTTACTTTATTGATTATTAAGCTAGAAATTATAGTAGATTTATTATTATTTTTCCTAAAATGTTGTTTATTTTGAGGTTAAGCTAAGAAAAAAAAATCAATTTTTCATTGAGGTCTCAGACTTTTGGACTCCATTGTACATAAACAAAAATATGCAAAGGGTTAGTGGTAGTGGAGATGAACAGGAAGAGAGCAAAGAAACAGCTGGAAATCATGGATAACATTGTGAATAGAAAACTCACTGCACTTTTCTCTATTTCTGTCACTCAAGTGCTACTCAATAGAGTTGTTATAATGGAAACAGTCCTCTTCGGTTCACACTAATGTACCCACAGACACACACACACACACACTTGTTTTTATCTGCCGGTTTCTCCTGCTCTCTTGCTAATTGGCCACCAGCTGGTACCAGACCCTTTTTTCAGTGTCTCTTTCTCTCCCTTCGTTCATCTCATCTCTACATTTCTGTCCATCCTGCAGATAAATCCTGACTCTGTCTATACTTTTCCCAGGGTCTGTAATCCTCCTGTCAGAGAGACACTGCCATTCTTCACACACATGCCGAATACATACGTGATGATGAAAAGCATATTTGTACACAATCACATAGTCTCGGTTAAATCCTGTCTACACGTGATGTAGTTGTTTTTAGGTAGCTGGATTTGCTAAATCTCTAGGACCCCTGCACTCTCACTCTCTGTGTACACCAAGTAATCTCAAAATCTCATTTTATAGTTCTCCATGTCTACTTTTGTACCCGGTAACCTCATAAATTCAGCCTTTTTTGATACAGGAAATCCCTTCATGAAAATCTTCTTAAGAAATAAGTTAAATATTAAATATAAGTGTGCAATACTTGAAAAATTCTGAAAAATTTACACTTTTCTGGGGAATAAACATGCGAATTGTATATGAAAATATACACTTCTCCTTTCATTTCTATGGTGTTAACAAACTGAATCACTCAAGAACAAGAAGCTACCTTCAAATTTCAGTTCTAATAAACCAGATGCTTTTATTCAGCTTGCTATAAACATGTCAACAGTTAACTACAGTAAACTACCTTGCTCAGTAGGTGAAAGAGAAAACTGCTCACATACTTACAATGCACTATAAATTGCATACTGACATATTTCATACATATAGAACAACACATAAAAAAATAAGCTTGAAGATTTACATTTATGTACTTGTATAGAATATATTTCACGCCCCAGATACATCCGACAGCACACACATAGACATATTATCTAGTTAACACACCACAAATGAGCAAACAAAAAGCCTCTAATGTACTAAATTCTCTCTCTGTCTGTCTCTCTCTCAGATTCGATTTGCTTTCAGGACATTGTGTGTCTAAGCACAAAACCACACGAGCTCCCATTTCTCTCACATTCACGCAAGAAAAAGAGAGGGAGAGAACAAAGAGATACAGTACTGCTAATGAATATTACCATCTTTACTGAAATATTGAGTCAGGAATGAATTCAGACGTTAAAGGGACAGAATGTTCACAAACATGCACATCCGCTTTCTCAGGCTGTCTGATGAGGGAGAAACCCAAAATAGATGAATAGATATTCATTTTTTGATTAGTAAATGGGAAGCTATTTAAACAGTGTGTGTGTGTATGTGTGTGTGTGTGTGTGTGTGTGTGTGTGTGTGATAAGCTTTCTGTTGTAGTTTAACAAGCGTTTGATTCACCATTAGAGTAGATATAAACCAGGAGATGCAAACCTGCCCACTTTATGACTCACATAAACATCCATCATCCTTTCAAAGTAACTGCTCAAGTTTGTGTCTGGAATTTTAACTTTTAGTTTTTATTATTTTTCTGATGTCATCACACTTTCACCAATAAAAAACAAACAGCCTTGCTCCTGTTTTGCTCGCCAGTCTCTTTTGCACACAAACTATTCATAAAACATGATTTATGATTCACATCCACCTCTATAACTTCGTCACCTGTCTGATTGCATTTATATTGCAATGAAATATGTCACTTTTTTCACCCTTATAACCATAAAAAATGGCTGTGCTCCACACATGCATTCATATGCATGTATCATTCCCCTGCTGTCAGGGGAGAATGCCCCAGAATTCCTCTATCCTCTCTTAACGTCCCATGAAAAATTCCCGGGACCGCACTCATTCTCTCCGTTCAGTCCGCTGCAAACCACCCGCCACCGTCCATAATGGCCTCCCGCTAGTCCTGTACTTCTCTGCTCCTTGCCCTCGTACAGTGCTGTATGTGATTAACCCCTCATTGCCCCTCAGACTGGCACAAGGCCAAAGCAGAGATATTGTACAAATCCTCACAGAGAGTCCAAGAGCGTATATTATTCGGTGGGAAAATCCCCCTGTTCTCATCGCCGCGTGATCCCACTGCACCTGTTTCATCGAGAATAATGAAAATATGATCGGAAAAGAGCAAGAGAGGGAGAAAGAGCGTTTTGAGAGGATTAAAAGGATTATATGTAGACCAACAAAGAAGATGAAACCAGAGAGAGAGAGAGAGAGAGAGAGAGAGAGAGAGAATTAACTGTTTACATAGGCAGCTGCCTTCTGAGGCCATATTCTATATTGATGGAATCTCATGTGACATATTTGGAACACTCTATATTGGTAGGGACTGTGTAGCATGTAGCATTCCTCACGTCAAGCACACATTAATTCTAGTCTGGTCTATGAAATACAGAGCATACACACAAATATTAGGTTAAATGATGTGTTATGAATCAGATCAGAGATATTTTTATTCAGCACTTTTCTGTATTAAATAAAATGTTTATATTTACTCTGTGTACATTGAAATCGACTTGAGTTTTACCAAAGTCCTTTTAAGACAAGTCATGTCACTCGGCGGCCATCTTTGAAACGCCTCTCGGGCATGCAAGTGCAACTCCTATATCTTTGAATGGGGGAACATTCAATTCTCTCAAATAATTAGTGAAATAGTGTTACGAATGAGATTAGAACTATTTTTACTCAACAATTTATTGTAGGCATATTGATTACTATATTTATAATCAACTTTTCTGTTTACTGTTTACAGTCAATTCCACTTGAGTCTGACATTAGCATTGCTAAGCTAATGGCTTGATAGTCTAAAAAGCTTAAAAATACATAGCATACAAATATTTCATGAAATAGTGTTATGAATCTGATTAGAACACTTTTCTTTATTGAATGCTTTATTTATAATCTTTTCTGTTTACTGTTCACTGTCAGTTCGACTTAAGTTTGATGTTAGCATGTTGCTAAGCTAATGCCATGATAGTCTAACTTAAAAATACAGAGCACTTAAATGTTGCCCAGAATAGTGTGTTGTGAATCAGATTAGAACTATTTTTCTTTTTCTTTTTTTTTATTTAAAGGGGTCATATGATGCGATTAAAATTTTTCCTTTCTCTTTGGAGTGTTACAAGCTCTTGGTGCATAAAGAAAATCTGTAAAGTTGCAAAGACTAAAGTCTCAAATCCAAAGAGATATTCTTTATTGGCCAATCAGTGCACACCTCGCTTTTTCAGACCGATGAGCTTTGTAAAAATCAACGCGTTTCAGAAAGGCGGAGCATAGAGGACCGCATAAACACATTTCATTACACCAAATACACCAAATAATGTTCTTTTTTAGCAGCATCATATGACCCCTTTAAAATATTTTAGAACTATTTTTAAACGTTTCTGTGTTGATTAAAATATTTATCAACTATTCTGTTTACTCATCTTGAATGAGTATAGAAACCCAAGCAATCGGGAAAGGAACAAATAAAAAGGATAAAGAAAGCAGCTGCAATTTTGACTGTAATTTGTGCGTTTTGGTAAAATGCAGCAGCAACCTCTGGAAGTGGTCGAAAGTGGACAAGCTCAAAACGTTTTAGACCCTGTTTACACTTTTTTAGCGTCTTCTACTTGTGATTGGATTGAAAAAAAAATGAATTATGTTCGTGAAATAAATTAATGAACAGGGATTTGATAAAAACTGCAGGAAAAACTATATATCGATATAATGCACAGAAAACTTCAATGAGTGAATCATTAAACAAATTTGAATAATTTTTGTTTTTGTAAGTTCTTTCAAATCACAGATGAAAAAAATTCCCACCACTACTTCTCACCTTCCGGAACAGCAGTAGGGAGATATTAATTAAAGCATGTCATATTTTATTATATGTCTAGGTTGACAGCACACTTAGTTTTGAATCAGAGCTACTGTCTAGACAGAAAGAAATAGAAACAAGTGACAAAGGAACATCAGTACACATTTCTTTCAGGCCCCAGTACAGACAAAAATAGATACACTAAAGAGAGACAGAGAGAGTTACATCGTCCCTTGTTGTCACTAAGTTGTTATCAGTTTGAATATACAGCACCCTCAAAACAAGGCCAGGCAGCGAGCAGATCAGCGCGATGATGCTCACATTGATTTGTCTGTAGAAGGACTTTAAGTAATGGCTGTAAACAATAGAGCCAGGGGCTTTTAATCACAACTGTAAAGGCATGGAGTGTAAGTGCTGTTTGTTTCTAATAGGCCTCTCGCACCTGTCACAGGAGCGAGGAGGAGGAGCTACAAACACTTCTCTCTCTTTTTAGCCCTCAATAATGGTTGAACAAGCATTACATTCCCAGAATGTCAGTCTGTCAGTCAGCGCCTGAGAAACCATGAGACTGTAAAATTGCAATGTGTCATTTTCGAGGAGACGAGAAAGAGAACTCAGTCGATTGCTGTCATTTGTAATTCTGACCCTGACTACACACACACACACACACACACACACACACACACACACACACACACACACACACACACAGACGTACTTTCACACATTCACGCAGACACATCCCAGCTGTCAAAATCTGTCTGCTTGCTTTCCTCCAACATCAGCAGAACAGAGTCGACAAACAGTGTCTCGAGACGCTCTGAAAACTCTCTCGATTTCCCTCAGTCATGCTTCAGCGGGTCCACTGACTGCGACTCTTTTCTTCTCCATTCAGAACGCCCAGTTATAACTACGCCCCTAATCCAGACAAACACTGGATTATGCGCTACACCGGCCCCATGAAGCCCATTCACATGGAGTTCACCAACATGCTGCAGCGCAAGAGACTGCAAACACTGCTGTCCGTGGATGATAGTGTGGAGAAGGTACATCAGTTATACATGTTATACAAATTACATGAATTATGCATAAATATAATACATTTTTATCTAAATATAAAAGTAGAATATTTATAAACTATTCTTAACCATATGGCAACACTTTATTTTAAGGACCAATTCTCACTATTAACTAGCATGCATATTAGGAACATATTGGCTGTTTATTAGTACTTAAAAAGCACATATTAATGCCTTATTTTGCATGACCATATTTGTGACGCTGGAACACAAAAGCAGTTTTAAGTCGCTGGGGTATATTTGTAGCAATAGCCAAAAATACATTGTATGGGTCAAAATTATAGATTTTTCTTTTATGCCAAAAATCATTAGGATATTAAGTAAAGATCATGTTCCATGAAGATATTTTGTAAATTTCCTACTGTAAATATATTCAAACTTAATTTTTTATTAGTAATAATATGCATTGCTAAGAACTTCATATGGACAACTTTAAAGGCGATTTTCTCAGTATTTTGATTTTTTTGCACCCTTAGATTCCATTTGTGACCCTGGATCACAAAACCAGTCATAAGGGTAAATTTTTTGATGTATAAATAAGCTTTCCATTGATGTATGGTTTGTTAGGATAACTAACTATTTGAAAATCTGGAATCTGAGGGTGCAAAAAAATCTAAATACTGAGAAAATCGTCCTAAAATTTGTCCAAATGAAGTTCTTAGCAATGTATATTACTAATCAAAAATCAAGTTTTAATATATTTACAGTAGGAAATTTACAAAATATCTTCATGGAACATGATCTTTACTTAATATCCTAATGATTTTTTGGCATAAAAGAAAAATCGATAATTGAAACCCATACAGTGTTTTTTTTTTTGGCTATTGCTACAAATATACCCCAGCGACTTAAGACTGGTTTTGTGCTCCAGGGTCACATTTTAGATCCCTTAATCCTACCCCATAACTAAATTTAACAACTACTTTACTATTAATAAGGAGCAAATTACTTATCTATCTGTATGAATTATTTTCCCAGTTGAGAACATTTCCACATTTACTCCAGATACACCATGGTAATAAATAATTGTGTACCGTGGTATTTGCATGCTACTTTATGGTACTTTAACAATGCTACAGTACTATGGTGCATTATATTGCAATCATTGTTATTTTAGTATTATTTATGTTCTATTATGGTATTTATTAATATTCTGAAAAAGCTTTTATTTTAATATTTTCTGTTTAAAGATTTGGTGCTTTTGTCTTTTTATTAGTTTATTGCTTTTTTAACATTTGCAATACTGAAATTACTTTTTTTAAATAGTTTCATTTATTTTTATTGCAGTTTTAGTTTTTCTTTAGTACTTAAACTTACTTGTTTTATTTCACTTAGTTACCAAAGCAACATTTCTGATTTTTGTTTACGTTTTCCATCTAATGTTTAATATTTTATTTAGCTTAAGTTCAATTAGCATTTTTTTAATTGTTCATTTAACAGCAACAACACTGAGTGCAGTGATCCATTTCACAAAACCAAACAAATGTGTTTTTTTTCCTTTTTTTTTTTTTTTGGTAAATTCACAGTTTCAGAATGTCCCATGATGCTTTTGTCTTGCTTTTCTGCAACCACAAAAGAAGCTATTGTACCTTATCAATTATTCTACTATTGTAATGTTTCTTCTTTCTGAATGTAGATATACAACATGTTGGTGGACACTGGAGAGCTGGACAACACATATGTGATCTACACAGCTGACCACGGATATCACATCGGTCAGTTCGGACTGGTCAAGGGGAAATCCATGCCCTATGAGTTTGACATCAGAGTTCCCTTTTACATCCGCGGCCCAAATGTGGAGGCAGGAGGCATGTGAGTGCTCTCGTTTGTGTGCGTGTATCCGATGACGCCATCCAATAGACATGACAAAGACAACCATCGCAAAAAAACATGGTGCTTTTAGATGATAGCACCATGATAAATCAATATCTATATTTATTCATATATTTATATAAATAGAAAATGTTAATATAATGTAATAGAATGTCTCATTGCAATGCATTGAAGAATTGAAGCTCTTAAAATATGATTATCTCCCAAAAAGTATATTTTTAGTATAATATTATTCAGGTAGCATATAATTTAATATAACGTTTATGTCTATAGTAATTCATGTTTTAGTACAGAGGCCACAGTTATTCTTTAATGAGGTCTGAACTTGATTTATGGGGTTTTAATGACTTTCCAATGAGATCAGCACATGTTGCAGGCCATATTTGAACCTGCATCCCCACGGGAGCACCAGACCAGAGCTCTGTTTAAATGTAGAAAAACTCGCTCTCTCTTTCTCTCATCAGCATTTTATATCATTACTCACTAGTCTGCTGTGTGGTCTGGCTTCTCTCTTTCTCAGAAAAGCAGATTAACAGCAGTAAAGTCCACTCATGTGAAGACCGCAACACTTTTTACTGTGAAAGAAAGCCACGGAAAAGAGGATAAAGAGTTTGGCAAGAGTCTCAGGGTGAGAAAGGCACAGCTGGGGCCAGTTCAACATCAGATGTGCCTTTAGGCAATACAATCAGAGAGAGAGATGAGCCGAATTTACTTTTTGAAAACTGAGCGGATGTGATTGGATTAATCTCCACTGAGGATTTGAAACGGTCAGTTGAAACTGACACTCATTAGTTTTGAATAATTTTTTTAATCAAAATGAACAGCCACAGTAAGCATGTTGAGGGGTTTGATGTGTTCTCCAGTGTCAGAAGGTGAATGTTTAATATATCACTATAATAGAAAGCTATCTGTTAGCACAGTGGTTCTCAACCAGGGGCCTCAGCACACTTTCAAGAGGCCGCAAGATGATGATGAGCAGTTTTTCTTTTCCTGGTTAAGGCCGCTCGCGACCTCTCGCTGCTCCATTGGACTGATTTTACACATGCTTCAGAACGCGGTCACGCAAGGGCGTTCCCAAAGCGATTCTCATCAAGTTGATCTTTGCTGAAGTTGGTTGATGGAAAAGAACCAGTCTGAGTCAAAGGATCTTGAAGTGGAAAGACTAGGCCGAAGCCTGGCGCAGACTTAAGGGTTGCAGAAGAGTTTCTAGCTCTCATCCTTATCTTCTCAGAAGCTAACAGGACCGCAGACTGAAAGGCTATATGTTGGAGCCCACCGGGCACGCCCACACCGGCTCAGGCTCTCCACATGGGCAGCAATCAGAAGATTTAGCAGAAGACCTGGGTGGAACTGTGTGTGAGCCCTTTAAAGTCTGAGACGAGTCCCGCCTCTCAGGATGGGCTTGTCCAATGAGAAAGGCTGAATTTCCAAGCGGGAGGTTGGAAATACTGGGGAGTTTTATAACCCTTTGTCTGAGAGCATGGTAATTTGCATATGGAACTGGATTGGATGTTGATATGCAAACTATTAAATATTCTTAGAAAACTAACATGTTGCATAGGTATCCACATATTATATACACTCTCAGTTAGATCATCCAAAGACAAATTCATAGAGGCCAAACATGGTATAGGTGAGTTTACCTTAACTAGTGACCTGTCATAAGCATGCATTAAAACAGTATACAATACACAAGACCATATACAAGGAGGTAGTAATCAAACACAAAGACCTGGGGATATGCATGATAGGAAAGTCATAGAAAATTTTGTCTATGAATTAATGTAAGAAGTCATTTCCTATAGCAGTCTGTTTCAGAGAGAACTGAGTAGGAGGAAGTTTCTCTCTACATACCTTTAGGTCGAAAAAGTTTATCTGATCTGGCTGAGGTGTCCTGGTTGCCATGGTAACCAGGGGCCTGGGGTCGTTCCCAGACATGCTGGCACCCAGTATGTTTATTGGGTGAGGGGTCTGTGATTATTTGTTAATCTAATGAATAATTGATTTGTTAAATCTAATGAAAAATTGTGTGTCTGATTGGTCCAAATGCTACAATTTTATTCGGTAAAAATTGCCATTTGTGAGTTAAAATGATTTTAAAAGCCTTATCCCATAATCACAAACAAGTGGAAAAATCTTTTAAATTCATTATTGAACCCTGAAGAACATTCAGTTCTTGAATCTTTTGAAATTACATTTCATTATTTGATACTATTTTATATCTATTTCTAATTGTTTTATATTATTTTTCTAATCTATAATAATAATTATTATTATTATTATTATTAGCATTAGCATTATTGTTGTTGTTGTTTTAATAAATTGACAATTCTCTCCTCTCCACTCCTATTTCAATAAATAAATTGTAAAAAAAAAAACGTTTGAAAACAAGCAGCTTTGTCATAACAGCAGAAGTCCCCGGAAATATCTTGGGATGTTTGAATATTGGCTTGGACAATGGGGGGCCTCGCTTGGAGTCAGAAGGTTTGAGCACCACTGTGTTAGCGTTCACATTTATCTAAATGATAGTTGCTCAGGCGGCGCATGTAGCCTTGAAAGTATGTGACCTGCATTCTGCCATCTTTGCTCATGGACAGTGTGCATCTGATTGCCCAATACTTCACTGGGTATTCAACCATCTCAAGTGACGTCCCAAATCATATAGGCTCAGTCTGAAAGACAGCAAACATAGGGAACAAGTGCACATCAATATATGTACACTTGTAGAAATGAAGAAAATTCCCACCTATCATGGCGCACCACCTCAGTGGATGATGACTTTTCAAAGACACATAGTATATTGTTGCATAATGCATACTGTTTTACATACTAATAGTAAACAGTATGCAGTGTAGGCTATATCCATTAAAATATTCAGTGTAGTACAGCTGTATTCTGTTTTTGAGCAAGTTCTGGATCTCTCTATTTTATCACTGTCTCTGTTATCAGTCAGTATTTATCTACTGCTCGTCTGGTTTCTGACCATTATGTCAAATGGCAACCCCCTCTTCTGTTTCCATAGCAACCCCCACATCGTGTTGAACATAGACTTGGCCCCCACCATCCTGGACATTGCAGGGATGGACGTTCCACCAGACATGGACGGCAAGTCCATCCTCAAACTTCTGGACACAGACCGCATGATGAACAGGTGAGGATGTCTACTGAAGTGTGCCTTTTTTTTCCGTATTTCAGAAACTGAGAGCCTGTGCTTCCATGATTACATGAGCAGAACAAAAAAGTCAACTCATCTGATATAGTTTGAAGAAAATGCATGTATTGAAAAACATAAACTGATGAACTGTCCACAAGGCTGGAGATACGAAGAAAGTTTGGTTTAAGGGGTGATTTCACTAAGAATGCCTTTCTGTTCTCCATCATTTGATGAATAATTGCTGCCATGATCAATCAAAAATATATACAAACATGTCTTTTACTAGGGGTGTGAAGATTTAGGCACTTCACGATTCGATCCAACTTCAGTTGTGAAAGTCATGATCTGATTCCAAAATTATTCTTGATTTTAATCAAAATTATTCTTGATTTTAATCAAAATTATTCTTGATCTTTTCTTATTAATTAATCAATTGAACTACATGAAATATTTAATTTATACACATTAATTCCTTAATTATAAGTACTTTTCTTAAAAAAAACAATTGCAAATTAACAATAAATTAAAACAATTGTATTTGCAAATGTATAAAGATTTCATCATTGAAGAGAGAATCGCAATGCAACTAAGAAACATTTTTTTCTTTTGTATCATTTTTTAATATGAACTTCAGTTCATATAAAGATGGTAAGCAGGCAAACAGTACATCATCATATAATAGTACAACGCTTTTTGTGAACAAGCCACAATCTATAATGAACCTAATTTACATATAAAGGAGGTGTGTTTGTGATGAAAGGAATGACAGAAATTTAATTTACTGTAAATACCCACAGCACAGTGCTTGGCACCTGGATGAACTGGATTGTGGGTGGTTTGTGAATAATATACAGGTTAGCACATGCAAAACTGGCACAACTGTTTAATAAATTTGCGCCTCAGTGTTATCTTTTTCAGTGCAGCTACTAGCTACTTCACTATATTACTTGATCAGCTTGTAATGCTGAGTTTCCTGAGGATAACGACACACTACGTGTAGCCTAATCCTGAGGCTATCAGAGCCGTAGGAATAACACCTCGCCTCACTTCATTGTCATTGAGTGGCAGCAGATGGCAGTCTGCCAGGCATCCTACTGACACAGAACCCCTCATTACCGTGACACCTGATGAAATCTCATCTCTGCACTCTTCCGCTAGCCCGCGTACCTCTTTTATTTCAGATGAGAGGAAGAGATGCATATCTCAGCAGGAGGTGGGGGGGGACAGGAAATAAGAAATCCGGAGGGAAGAGGGGCTTTCAGGAAAGATGACTGGCAGGGAGATGGAGGGCTTGCACTTCCCTTGTGCTCTCAATCACCTCAGATAGACACTCATTAAATAAATATTTCTATATTTCATCAGCTTCCACATGCTAAGGTGTTCTGGTTTTGAGAGCATCTCTAAACAGTTGCTAGGGTCTCTGGGTGTTTACTAGGTGGTCAAATAAACCCAACCCCAAGATATTCTGGTCTTAAATATGTCTAATAATAGGGGTGTGCGATATGATGATATTAGATTGTGAACAAGTAAACTGTCTCCACGATCTGACTTGACAGCTACAGTTTACGACTTTTTTGATTATTATTTAAATAAAATATAAGTGAAATAAGATTTTGGTCATGTCACCCACCCTTATTTTGGTCTAAATGATCTGTCATTCTTTTGTTTCCTTGTAGGGCTATATTTTTGCCATAACACCCGTCCCTAACTAAAAATACATTACATACATACAATGATTTGAATTCACCTTGTCTATGATGAGCTTGTTATAATTTCTAATTCTAATAATTTTTTTTTCTGATTATTTTGGGGTATAAAGTAATATAATGAAAAAGGCTCATTCAGAGATTGAAATTCTTGAAAAGAAAGTAGCAAGTAGTAAAAGAAAGTACTGCTTCACTGTTATTTTATAGAAGCATGTTTCTGCCACTGAATAAAAAAATAAAACAAGGTAATTGCGACTTTTTATCTCACAATTCTGACTTTTGTTATATCTCACTTATATCTCGCAATTCTGAGAATTTTTTCCCTCAGAATTGGACTTTATAACTCTCAATTTTGAGTTTATATCTCAGAATTGTGGGAAAAATAGTCAGAATTGCGAGATAAAAAAAAGTCAGAATTGCAAGTTTATATCACGCAGTTCTGACTTTGTAACTCACAATTGTCAGAATTGTGAGATAAAAAGTCGCATTACCTTGTTTTATTTTTTATTCAGTGGCGGAAACGGGCTTCCATTGTTTATTAATAAACAGACTTTGTGGTGTAACCAACATAACGGAACATTAAAAACATAAAACATGAAATTATATCATAGTGAGGACCCTGCAGACCCTCATGACACAATTTTAAAGTATCATTCATGTCCATTACACAAATGGCATGGAGCAAAGTACACATAACTTTGGCTTTAGGCTTTGTGCAGTGATGATGCCTTGGCAAATACCAAGGCATCAATAAAAACAATAGGAGTCTGAATAGGAGAAAAGGCCAACCAGAACACTCCTAAATCTGGCAGAAACTCCTGCGGAGATCAGAGAGTGTGTGTGAGAGCACCGATCGATAGCTCATATCTGCAGAAAAGGTCAGGAGGTGCACAGAGCACTTCTGTTTTCCTCCTTCTGTTTTTCATCAGGGATAGTAGAGGAGGGAAAAAGCACTTTAAATTGCAGGCTGGATTTCAGTTTAAGTTGTTTGTCATTTTTGTGCATTACTATTTTTTCAATCTCGGTCTCAGTTTGTTGGATTTAGTCATCATTTGAGTTCACTGAGAAACGGCCAATTTCTGGACAATTTGCTGTTCCAGGTGATCAGTAACAAAGCCGTAGATCAATATCCATCCGTCTCTCCTAATTGCAGGTTCCAGCTCAACAAGAAAGGAAAAGTGTGGAGGGACTCGTTCCTGGTGGAGAGAGGGTGAGTCAACGCAAATTAAATGTGAAAACAGCCGGAGAGCTATGGGTTTTTGGTGTGAAAGGTCAGCGTATGTTTATTCAGATAACGTTTCAGAAACGTTTTTCTTTACTTCTCTGGTGACAGAAAACTGCTGCATAAAGTGTTGAATGATGGGAAGGATATGGCCCAGGAGGAGAACTACCTGCCCAAATACCAGCGTGTTAAAGACCTGTGCCAGCGCGCAGAGTACCAGACGCCATGTGAACAGATCGGTCAGGTACAACAACAAACACACAGAAGAATCCTTCCTCTTCTTTTTTTCCTGACAATCTCTGACATTAAAATAATAAATTGCAGACAGGATTACAACCCACTTCTCCACATTACCACAAGTCCAGCGTTTCAGACTTAACATTCGTTTGTTGATGCATGCATTCATTGACCTACAAAAATCCTGAGAGCCGACAGCAGCAGATTTAGGGATGAAGTTATCAAACGAAATGTCACAAATAGCAGCTCGATGTGCTGGAGAACTTGTTGTGTGGATGATTTTTGGACATTCCTCATCATAATGTTATTGTTTGCCTTTCAATTTTGACTTGCAAATGAGCAAAAACTCTACTGCTGACCTCAATATGTCACATAGACTATTTAAAACACTAAAATCTCATGTTCAATCGTTTGTGCATAACATAATAAATATTCATGAGCCATGTCTTCACCAGCTAATGCCATCAGAACCAGCATGTCTGTGAACTACTATTACCCACCACTCAGGAAAAACACCTTAACAATGAACTTTTCCACGACATTCTAATTTATTGAGATGCACCTGTATTTATTATTTTTTTAACACTACATTGATTTATTTATTATTTATTTTTAATACTTCATCAAGTTATTTTATGAATAATTTACAATTTCTGATTTATGTATAATCAATCATATTAGTAAAAACAATAATGTAAAACAACTATATATTATTATATATGAATACACTGAAGATTAGAGTAATGATGCTGAAAATCCAGCTTTTCATCACAGTAATAAATTACATTTTAAAATATATTAAAGTGCCCCTATTATGCCATTTTGAATATTGCCTTTCATGCAGTGTGCAATGTAGCTGTATGTGAATGTAAACGATCTGCAAAGCCAAAAATGCACGATAAATCAAATTATTGTCTCCCAAATGAAAGAATCGACTCTGAACAGCCTAAACGAGTCGTCAGTAATTCGAATCTCACTCCCGTGACGGACGTCTACACGTCACTGGGTAACACCTTTGCACAATGCCCGCCTATGTTCTCCGTTTGCTGGCCGCGAACAACTTGACCCGCCCTCAAACTCTGCAACTTGTTCGTGTGGTTAACGTCATGTCGAGAAGACGCTGTGTCCTACACTGTGAAAGTAAATTAGTTTTATTTTCACTTCCGAAAGATGAGGCTGCAAAGAATCAGTGGTTAAAATTCATTATTCCACTGTACCACAACAGTACAACCTCAATCTTTTTTTGTGTTCGACTGCTTCTCTAATCTTTGGGAGTTCAACACGCGATTCACAAAACGCTTGCTCTTGAAAGATGGCTCAGTACCCAGTTTATTTGGACCAGCTGACTCCACTGAATCACAACCTGTAAGTATGATAAATAACAGATGTTTATATTGTCTATCGAGCGTTCAACACAGAACTATGGCAATGGGCGTTTAGTTTCCGACAGTTTCCGTGCTGTACGCGGTAGACCAATCACAACAGACTGGACCATCTGACCAATCAGAGCAGAGCAGGCTCACGGAAAGGAGGGGTTTAGAGAGACTGAATCTTGAACTGCTTCGAATTAATCGTTTGAGAATCGTTGGGAAATGAGGTGATATTACATTTACATTTACATTTACATTTAGTCATTTAGCAG